AAAAAACAATGGTTTTTCCAAAAACCAGTATAGGTGTCCAGTGTTGGAACAGGGGGAAAAGTCGTATACTAAGCTAGCGTCCAGAAAATGTTACCACAACAAGTCACTGTACCCATGCGCCAGTGTAGTAGCCACGGTCGTCCGCAGGCCACGAAGTGAAGTGTCCGAACGTCATAGGGCGGGAAGCTGGGTGTGGGTGGTGGCGAAGAGTCGTTTGGAAATGTGGTAGAGCTTGAACCGGCCCCCCCACAAAGTGGGGGTATTGGCGGGCGTCGTATGAAAACCCTGGCACTGGTGAGAACACTGAGCGTTCGGGTAAAGTGATTGTTGTTGTTGTTGTTGTTGTTGTTGTCGTTGTGGCTGTTGTTGTTGTTGTTGTCGTTGTCGTTGTTGTTGTTGGTGTTGTTGCTGTTGCTGTTGTTGTTCTGATTACACGTGAACTCTCATTTCTGGAGAATAATGATTGTTGATCCCCCTCGTCCGGTGCACATTGTTTTTCGATTGAAGTGCCTTTCCCGGGGCTCGCACCCTGTTTTTTATGAAGGAACGTCTTGAGGGTCAAACAGCGTTGTTGGCCCCCGGTTTACAACAACAGCGGCTCCCGCCTGATACCTCCTCACAGTTTATTGAAGAATCGCGCTCTCGCTCGTGACATCTTTGCAATTTACCACCGGATCGCGGCTCCCGCTTGATACTTCCTCACAATGTATTGAAGAATCGCGCTCTCGCTTTGGACTTCCTCGCAACTTACCACCGAATCGCGGCTCCCGCCTGATATTTCTTCAGCATTTATTCAGATGCCGCTCCTCGACACTCAGAAATCGCGCTCCCGCTAGAAACTGCATGGCGGTTCATGCAGAATTTACGTTTCAACGACCCGCCCGCTCGACCCGCCCGTCTGGGCCTGCCCGCCCGACCAGCCCATTAGAAACTGCAGTCGCCGCTCGCCGCCCTTCGCCCGCCTTCGATGCCCCTCGCTGCCCGCGCTGGTTCCGCGGTCGCCTTCGCTCGCTGCCCTTCGTGGCCCCGTTGCTGCCCTCAGTGGCCCCGTTCTTTCTGTCTTTATTTGTTGCCTCTCTCTCTCAATATGTTTGTCTCTCTCTCTCTCTTTGTCTCTCTCTCTCTCTCTCTCTCGCTCAGTACTTGTTTTTTGGTCTCTCTCTCTCTCTCTCTATATCTCTCTGTCTTCCTCTTTTTCTTTTTTCATGTTTTGTTTTCTCTCTCTCTCTCTCTCTTTATCTGTCTCTCTCTCTCTCTCTCTTTCTCTCTCGTCTCTCTCTCCTTTCGCAGCTGTCCCTCCCGTCCCTCCGCCCCTCCCTGTTCCCTCCTCCCTCTCCCTCCCCCCCTCTCTCCCTCCCCTTATCGTCATTGTCGTCGTCGTCGTCGTCGTCGTCCCTGGCCGCCCCCCTTGGGGCCCGCCTGCCGCCTGGAGCCCAGCACTCCGACCATTCAGCCAGCCAGGCCGATAATCCGTGCGACTGCCTCGCCGCCTGCCGAAGGCCAGCCTGTCGGCCCTTCAGCCCCCACCCTCAACCCTCTCCTCCTTCCCTTCCTCCCTCCTTCCTTCCTTCTCTCCCTGCCTCCTCCTCCTCTTCCTCCTCCTCCTCCTCCTCTTCCTCCTCCTCCCTCCCCTCGCCGTGGTCGTCGTCGTCGTGGTGAGCCCGCTGTCTGTCCATCTAGGGGTCGGGTTGCCGCGGGTCGGCGTGTGCATCGCCAGCGCTGCCGCTGGCCAGGCCGACGGCCCGCCGCAGGCCGGGGCCCGGTGTGCCGGCCTTTGAGACGCGCGTGCTCCACTGGCCCAGGTTCTTCTGCAGTCTTCGAATGAAGGCCTCCCTCGACGAGGCCCCCGGGGCGTTCCCGCAGGTTTTCGGAGCCTCTGGGATTGCTCGGTGGTCATCGGGGCCATTCCGAGGCCCCCCGGGTGCCTTCCAATCCCACCGCGCCCTGTTTCCGCACCAGTCTCCGCTCGTATCCACCTGCCCCCACTTTTCAACGTTCTGCCCCAGTCTGCTCTGCTTTTTCCCTTTATCTTCATTTTCATGTCGTTCGTACTCCATTGTGCCATTCCTCAATTCTTCGCATTCCGTCCACTCCTCCCCAGGCCACCCCATCCCACCCCAACAATCTCCACCCCTTCCCGTTCGAACTCCGCATTTCCCCCAAATTATCCCCAGCCCCTCCTTCAAATTCCCCCGTGCGCCCCCCGCTCCTCCGCACTCCTCCCGGTTCTTCTTTTCCACTCCTTGCCGTTCCTCCTCCCGAGACCCTACTCTTGTCCACTCCATCCCAATCCACTCCACATCCCCGCGCTCCTTTCCACACGGTTGCAGTTCTCACTATTCTTCCGCCCCGCTCTCCCAACATCCCGCTTCTTTTCAAGGTTCCACGAAATTTGTTTCTGACACCAGTTCGCAACTGTACGTCCCCCCGTGGGGGTATCCACGATCTGTTCTGTCAGAGGGGGGGTACGTGGCGCTGTTTCTGGCGCGACTCATGGCGAAACTGATTGTTAACCCCTGTTGGAGTGGCTGGCGCAAGCTATGGCGCAGGCTGAATCGCCACTCGCAGCGCAAATCATCGTTTTCCCTCCTTTTTGCCCCTCCCCTCTCTTCCTCCGACCCCTTCGTCCTCATTCTCCCCTGTTGTCTGTTACCCTTCGTTTTCAACGGCTTCACCAACCACGCGTGGCAGGGAATGAATATACCCCCAAAAGGGGGTACGATCGAAGACGAAGAGGGCGGGTACCCAGGGTTTGGGATATGCATAATATCAGAGTGAGGGGGCCGAACGGTCATTCACTGTCCCTGGGTTCGTGGCTGAAGCGGAATTCCGCGGTGCGGATTCGTGTTGTTGTTGTTGTTGTTGTTGTTGTTGATATTGTTATTGTTGTTGTTGTTGTTTGTTGTGTGTTGTTTGTTGTTGTTTGTTGCTGTTGTTTTTTATTGTTGTTTGTTGTCGTCGTCCCACCCGCAACCCGCCCCGCGACCCACCCGCGACCCAACCCGCGACCCAGCCCGCGACCCACCCGCGACCCACCCGCGACCCACCCACGACCCACCCGCGACCCACCCGCGACCCACCCCGCGACCCACCCCGCGACCCACCCGCGACCCACCCGCGACCCACCCGCGACCCACCCGCGACCCACCCCGCGACCCACCCGCGACCCACCTTCGACCCAAACCACGTTCAAGGTACAAACCACCATTTTCGGCGCCTGCGGCTGGTTTTTTTGCATTCCTTCCACGTGGAGAGCCCGCGACCCACCCCGTGATCAGCTTGCGACCAACCCGCGACCCAAACCACGTTCAGGGTACAAACCACATGTTTCGGCGCCTGCGGCGGGCATCTTTTGCAATCGCTTGAAGTGGAGAGCCCGCGGCCCACCCGCGACCACGTTCAAAAAACAAACCAATTGTTTCGGCGCCTGCCGCGGGCATCTTTTGTATTCGTTCCCGGTGGAGAACCCGCGGCCCACCCGCGACCCAAACCGATTTCAGTGTACAAACCAATTTTTGTTGGCGCCTGCGGCGGGCTGCTTTTGCATTCCTTCCAAGTGGAAGGTGGAGAGCCTGCGACCCACCCGCGACCTAAACCACGTTCACTGAACAAACCAATGCCGCACAAGCGCGGCGGCGGATTTTTGCATGCCGTCTGAGCCCGCAAGGACCTCTTCAAGCCCCGCGCATCCACACCAGCCCGTCCAGCAACTTTGCCCTGGCGAGTTGCCTTGATCAGAGAAGTCGGGGAGCATAAATTGGAAAAAAGATTGCGTTGCCGCTATCTTGGGAAAGGAGGGGGAGACAGGAGGAGTAAACAGGGGACGAGGGGGACGCGGAAGAAGAGAGGATGTAAGGAGAATGTGGAGAAAGAGGAGGAGGAGGAGGAGGAGGAGGAGCAGGAGGACGAGGAGGGGGAGGAGGGGAGGAGGAGGACGAGGAGGAGGGAGGAGGGGGAGGGGGAGGGATGATTGATGATGATGATGATGGACGACAATGGGAGGACGATGATGGAGGCCGATGAGGGGGAGGACGACAATGGGAGGACGATGATGAAAGGACGAGGGGGGGAGAGGGAGGACGAGGAAGAAGAGGAGGAGGAGGAGGAGGAGGACGAGGTGCAGGAGGAGCATGACGATGACGATGAGGACGAGGACGAGGAAGAGGAGGAGGAGAAGGAGGAGGAGGAGGACGAGGAGGATGAGGAGAGCGCCATCGACAGGGAAGGTGGGGGCCACGAGGTCCGCCGGCTCGACGACGCCCGCGTCGCCCGCGCCCGCCCCCTCACTCTTATCCGCAATTGCGGGGTGCTACGTTAAAATGATTGTTGTTGTTGGTGTTGTTGTTGTTGCTGTTGTTTGTTGTCGTCGTCCCACCCGCGACTCACCCGCCACCCACCCCGCGACCAACCATGCGACCCACCCCGCGACCCACCCCACGACCCACCCCGCGACCCAACCCCGCGACCCACCCGTTACCCACCCGCGACCCACCCGCAACCTGCCCCGCGACCCACCCCGCGACCCACCCGCGACCCACCCCGCGACCCATCCGCGACCTATCCGCGACCCACCCGCGACCCACCCCGCGACCCACCCGCAACCCACCGCGCGACCCACCCTCAAGGGAGGCGGACACGACAAGTGACGTTTAGTAAACGGCCCTGGGCGTTTACTAAACAGCCTTTCCCTGTTCGAGTCATTCCTGGTGTTCGTTTACTAAGCGGCTTCGTTTGTTGGGGTGGCTATTATAGGGTGGCTTTTCTGCCCTCTACAACTGCGACCCACCCGCGACCCAACAACGACCCACCCGCGACCCATCTGCGACCCACCCGCGACCTACCCACACTGGTTTAACAAAAAAAACGGCGCCTGCGGCGGGCTCGCTGTATACATTGTGAAGCTTTGGCGCCTGCGGCGGGCTTCTCCAGGGGCTCGCAAAATGCCGACGTCCCCACCGCCCCATTCACTCTTATCCACATCTGCGGGGTGCTACGTATATTTCTCCTCGGCCGAGCAGGGGCGAAGAGGGGCGTGAGAGGCCCATCGCATGCAACCGACCGCAAGAAGGCGTCGGGGTATTCTGTATGGCCGAATGGGGTCGATTCGGACGCGTGTGAAACATGAGGAAGCGAGGCAGTGCTACAACATAAGCGAAATCTACAACTCACCCAAATGCATAACACGCAACCGAGAGCGCATCGGGAGCTCCTTTTGGCGCCTCCGAGCGAGGCATGGCCGTGCAAGAGCGGGCGCGGGCGCGGGCTTAAGGCTTGCAGCCCTTCAGCAAGCAGGCGCCGAACTCCTTCTTCCACTCGTGGACATACTCGGCACACCAGTCGAGCTGACAGCCGCTTTTGCGAACTCAGGGCAGAGACTGACGAGTGAGGGAGGCTGCTGGTTGAGAAGCTGGCCACTCTCTGGAAGATCTAGGGCTCGATGAGGCAAATTGGGGCAGCCTCGATTTTGGATGAGCAGGTCATGCTTTCATCAAGCCCCCATCCCCTTCAACGCATTTGCTGGTTCATCTCAGCGGGCCACGCTCCCGATCCCAGACGACGTCGCACATCTTGCATGGCTCCAAACACTTTCTACAACCTTCAGGGGGGACACGCTGCGTCCTGCAGCCCTCTGACCCGACCGATAGAACCCGTTTGAGACAGACGAAGACGCCTGACATTCGGCGGCGAGCCCAGGGAGAAGCCAGAGAGGGAAGGACGTCTCACAGGGCGGCAAGGCTCCTCAGAAACCCTCGCGCTTCCTGAGAAGCCGCCCGTAGATGCGGAGCAGGCTGCCGGGCTTCCCGGCAGGCGCGAGGGCTCCTGAGAGCACCGCCTCCTGCGAGGGCCTGCCCCCTTCCCACCTCCTCTCCCGCTGTCGCCGCCGAGGAATCATGCCGCTACGGTCCACATATGATGCCCCGACTTCCCACCACCGCTACCACAGGTAGGTAGGAGGAGGAGGTAGAGGAGGAGGAGGAGGAGGAGGAGGAGGAGGAGAAGGAGGAGGAGGAGAAGGAGGAGGAGGAGGACCTCCCAACCCTCCCTTCTCCCCCGTCCTACCTATGGTGGTGGTGGTGGTGGGGAAACATTGGCCCATCAACGTGCACACGACCACCTCTCGCGACACCACCTCTGGGCTGGAGCTCTCGGGCCCGAGGGGCCAGCCGAGGCCCCAGCGCCCCGAGAAACGCGGAGGAGACCGGCCGCACGTCTGTGCTGCGACCCTCCCCGAGGCACGGGTCCGCAATCTGCCCCTCGGCGCGCGCACCAAGGGCACCCAGGAGGCCCCCAAGAGGCCCCCAAGAGGCCCCCGGGAAGCCCGAAGAGGTCCCCGAGAGGCTCCTCTAAGAGGCGCCCAAGAGGCGCTCAAGAGGCCCAAAAATTCCTCCCCGGAGGCCCCCGAGAGCCTTCCGAAGAGACCCCAAGAAGCATCCCTGAGGACTCTGGCCCCCGTCAGCATCGTCATCGTCGCCGCCGCCGTCACCATCGTCGTCGTCCCCCTTCAGGGTCGGCGGCACCGGCCGTAGGGCCTTCGCAAATTGCCCCTCTGCGCGCGCACAATGGCACCGCGAGGCGTGCGCACAATGGCACCGCCTTGCACAGAGTGTCGGCGCACCCGCAGGTCTCCTCCGTCTTGCAGACGATGGTGTGGAACCGCTCGTACCTGGGCGAGCCGGAGATCGGTCGCGGCGACGCAGAGCTTTCTCCTGCTCCTCCTCGCCCTTCGTCCCTCGTGTCCCGTCTCCCTCCTCTTGCCTTGGTCCATGGTACTATATACCCCCACTCTGCCACCTAGCCAGCTGATAACAACCCAATCTGGGCGGTTCCGTCTGATACGACGTCGACGCTCGTCCTTTCAACATGGACACTTTGCTTCTGACCTTGCAAAACGCGTGGTAGGAACAGGACGCGGCGCGACTCACGAGGGAAATGCTGAAATGCAGGTTTCGCGTCGGTGTGGCGCATACTTCAAAACGTTACGTTCTGGCTTGGGCGTGGCGTGCATGCCCGGCGGCTTGTCAGCACTGGCGACCAGCCTGAGCGATGTAAGATGCCATGTGCTAAACTACGTAGACGGCACGAACAAGGGTACTTGAAACCCGCTTCTGGGCTGCTGACGCGCCTGCCCCCAGGGCTGCAGGCTACCCCACATGCTAGTGGAAAGCGGCACGATATATCGCCCGCATAGCATGCTTCACAGCATGGAGAGAACATGCAGCATGCAGCGTTTGATCCATGTCAGAGAACGCCCCGAGCAAGCGAATGACCGTTGTGTTGCTAGACGCTTTGCCGATGCACCACCTACCTCGTGACTTCAGCACTGAGGGGAGCACAAGCAGGCTGGCGCACTGATATGCTTTGATCGGGCACAGATGTCTACCCGAACGAGGGGCAGCCAGGCGTACGTGCCGTCAGTCATGCTTTTATTATGTAACTCCCCTCCGCGGCGCAAGAAATGTCAAGAAATTCATCCGCCACCGTGCCAAGGGCTGCCTGGCAGGGCTTGTGCACTTTTCTAGAAGGCCCCCCTCTCATCGCGGACTGTTGCGAGCATCTCCCACCCCCTTCACCGAGGCCACGATACCTTGTGTAAAACGAGGTCAGGTTAGCTGCTGAGAGGTAGATCACACGTTAGACCGCTTGTCGTGATTCTGCCTGGGTGCAGGGCGCACCGAAGTGCAGCTCGGTCGTGGGGACGGGCCGAATGATTCGGAGCTAGTCGCAGCTGGGATGCGCAACCAGACGTCTGCGGCAGACCCCGCCAAAGACCGGGTCTCTTGGCTGCTTCGCCGCTCCCAGAATCGGCCTCCCTGTGCCTGGATCTCCCGACAAGGCTTGAGGCCCGGGCCAGAAAGAACAGACGAGGGCTACACATCTTGCTGCAGAGTGTCCCACCCAGCTGCTGGGGGGAAGCCGCCGCCGAGAAAGCGCACTGGGTTTCGCCACCTCGCCCGACTGCACACCAAAGACGCCCGCAAGAGCACGAGCTCCCCGCGGTAGCGGCCCCGAGAGGGGGGAGGAGGGCTCAGGAGGCGCTCGAGCCCCACCGATGCCCCCCAAAGAGGCCCAGCAAGACACCCGTCGCGCGTGGACTGGGCGGGGTCCCGCTGCTCTGACGCACTCTAGTGCCTCAGCTTCGGACGAAGACCTCACACATCCCACGGATCAAATTGGGTGCCCGAAAATCCAGGGCAGGATGCCAGTTCCACAATGCGATTGCGCTTGGCGCTGCTTGAGGGCCATCTTGAGAGCAGAGTCAGATTGGAGTCACGGAGTGGAGTTATGGGTGTGGAGGCCACGACAGTGGACACCCTAACAGTCCTATCATTGAAATTAACACGTGTTCAACATGTAGCAAAAATGATCTAAACATGCTTCCTCTCCGTTGATCGTCCTCCACAATGTTGTGGTATTGCTTCAGCCACTTTGGGCCCGCCTGGGGGCCTTGGCGTGGTCTACCTGGGTCGCCCTGCGGGCTTCCAATGAAGCTTTTCTGCTGGAGCCCTGCAATTACGGCCGGGAGCTCAGTTGCTTAGCCTGGAAGCCGCGGCGGCCCCGGCGACACGCTGTGCCGCCATGCCGCCCTGCGAGCGGGCAGCGTGCCGCCCCGTTCCGCGGCGCGGACAGCCCGGAAAGGCCCGGGACGTTGCAGCCTGGGGACTGGGCAGGGGACAGCGCGTCGCGCCGAGGCGTGGTGGGCCACGCACCGGCGGAGCGACGCGCTCTCTCGGAGTTCCCGACAGCGTCGCCTCTGGAAGCCAGGCTGCCATGCAGCAGTCGCTGCGCCGACCTCGCAGGCGTGCTGCAGCCGATGTTTGCGCGGACTTCTGCCAGTGCCAAAACCGGGGGACGTGACATCAGGGGCCGCGCCAGACATTTTTCCCCAGTGCCGAAGCAGCAGCGCGTCGCCTGACGCTCGCGGTGCGGGGGCCGCCCGGCCCTGGTCGCACACCCGACGAACCATGGGCAGGCCCACTCAGCCCTCCCCACTCGGGGGGCAGCAGGCTCGAATTGAGGAGGACGATAAGGAAGAAAGGAGGGAGGAGGAGGAGGAGGATGAGGAGGAGGAGGAGGAGGAGGAGGCTCGAGGAGGGAGAAGGAGGAGGGAGAACAAGGAGGAGGAGGAGGAGGAGGAGGAGGAGGAGGAGGAGGAGCAGCAGGAGTCGGGCGCTGTCAGGACCAGGTTCAGTAGGACCTGGGACCTGGTTTAAGGATGTGTACCGGGGGAGGCCCTCCCTGACGTAACGCCACACGAAGAAACACCAGCTACGTCAGACCAGGTGTATAGTGATTCCAATCCATGACTGGAGCTCTGGGGCCCAATCACTGACCGGCCCCGCTCACCCAGGGTCCTGGCAGTATCCGAAAGAGGGGGGATGAGTGGGAAGATGGCGAGGCCAGGAGGTCGCCCCCGAAATGAGGTGGGTCGGACGGCAGGGGTGGGACTGTCCGTCCGACTGGGCAGGGCTCCGCCGGTGCGGCCCGCCGCTAGGCGCCGCCGAAGATGTCGAGGCACGTCCGATCCTCCGCGGCCTTGACCAGCTCGCGGTACGAGGCGGCGGACGTTCTGAGAGCCGCGGGCGGCCCCGGCGCCGCGGGCGGCCGCGGCAGCGGCGGCGGCTGCCGCGGAGGGCCGCCTGGCCCCGCCGCGGGGCAGAAGGATGCCGGTCGAGCTGGCGACGGCCGCCACGTGGCAGGCGCAGGCTGGGGCTGCAGCGGCGGCTGGGGCACCTGCGCTGCGCCCACCGCCGCCGCCGGGCGCGCACTCGCGGCCTGGCCGGCCGCGCCCGGCAGCGGCTGCCGTGCGGGGCCGCCTCGCCCCGCCAGAGGGCAGAAGAAGGCCTGTGCGGCCGGCGACGGCCGCCCCGTCGCAGGCGCAGGCTGGGGCCGCAGCGGCGGACGGAGGCCCTGCGATGCGCCCACCGATGCCGCTGGGGCCATACTCGCGGCCTCGCCGGCCGCGCCCGAGCTGGCCAGCGCCGCGGCCGCCTCCTCGTCAAGCAAGCCTGCCTCCACCAGGAAGCGAGACGGCATAGCCGTGTCGCCGCCGTCGCGCCGCCGGACGAAGCTGAGTGTCAGGCGGTCGCGGGCGCGTGTCATGGCCACGTAGAGCAGGCGCCGCTCCTCCTCCAGCGCCGCAGAAGCGCCGGCGCCAGCCTCCCCATGGGGCAGGTGCGGCAGCAGCGGCAGCATCTGCTCGTTGCAATGCGCAACGAAGACGTGCTCCCACTCGAGCCCCTTCGCCCCGTGGATGGTGCTGACGCACACGGAGTCGTCCTGCGACCCGCATACGGATTCGATGCCGTGGGCGCCCAGGTCGCGCAACAACCGCGCCACGCACGCGGCGCCGTTGGGCTCCCCCGGGCGGGGAGCGCACAGCTGCGCGGCGGCGAGCAGCGGCTGGAGCCTGGCAGCCGCCTCCGCGCCGAAGCTGGCCTCCTGCATCACCACCCGTGCCACGTCCGCTGCCGTGTGCGGGCCCTTAGCCCTCAGCCGCGCCAGGTGCAGTACTGACTGCAGCCGGGCGAGTCCCTGCGCCGTGCGCCCCGCGGCACCGCACGGCGCGGTGAGCAGCCGCCGGGCGGCGCCCGTGTACGATCCGCCCTTGGGCTCGGGCTTCGTACGGCCGCTCGCGGCCTCCTCGGGTGATAAAGTTTCGGCGCCCGCCAGCGGCAGCAGGGCCGCCGTATCGGGCATCTCCGGCGGAGCCCCGAAGCTCGCCCGGAGCAGCTTCAGGCAGGCTCTGCCGAGCCCACGTCGGGGCCTGTTGTACACGCGCAGGAACGAGGCGTCGTGGTGCTCGTCCACGACCAGGCGCAGGTACGCCAGGAGATCCTGCGCCTCGGACCCCGTGGTGGCGCCTCGCTCTGCGCGCTTGCGGGGCGGCGGGCGCGTGGGCACGCCAGCCTCGCGCAGCCGCCGCTCGAAGACCTCCGCCACCTGGTTGGTCCGCACGAGCACCGCGCAGCGGCCCCACGCCCGCGCATCCGCGGCGCAGGCGCCGCCGTCTCCAGGTCCGCACAGCCTCTTGATCTCCCCAGCGACCCACAACGCCTCTGCCACGGGGTCGTCCTGGGCCACGACCCGGACGGCCTCCTGCGGAGGGGCACTGCGCGGCGGGGTCGGACGCGCGGGACGCAGATCAATTGGCTCACGGCCGACGTTGTGCGAGATGAGCGTGCGAGAGACCTGGACGATGGCTGGAACGGACCGGAAGTTCATCCCAAGACCGAGCACTGTCGCCGAAGGCCACAGCGAGCGGAAGGCGTCCGTTGGCGGCGGCTCCCCCACATCCGCGTTGGCCATGCTGCGCCGCCACCCGTAGATGCGCTGGTCGTCGTCTCCCACGGCGGTGATGGCCTGGCGCCCCGCGAGCAGCCGCACCACGAAGTCGCGCTCTTGGAGCTCCACGTCCTGCCACTCGTCCACGAACAGCTGCGCGACGCGCGCTCTGGCCCAGTCCCTGGCAGCAGGACTCGACTGCACTTGCGCCAGCGCCTCCGGCAGCAGACCGTCCAGGTCCAGCAGGCCCCGCGCGGCGAGCCCCTCCCGGTACCTGCCGAGCGCGGCTGCGAGCCCTGGGTGCCTCTCGAGCGCCCCCGCCCACTTCTCCGGCCGCGCGCCGATCTGGCGGAAGACGCTCAGCAGCGCCCTGGCGCGGCCACCGCCGCCGCGGTCCCGGCCGCCGGAAGGGCCCACGGCCGCGCCCGCGGAGGCGTCCGAGGCGGACGCGTCGTCCTCGCGCTCGGCCGGGAGTCCGCGCAGCACGGGTTCCAGCTCCTCTGGCCGCGTGTCCTGGACCACCTCTCGGACGACCTGCAGCCGCTCCGCATCCGCCGCCACGCGCCGGGCTGGGCCGCCGCCAGCCTCGCGCAGCAGCCGCAGCGCCAGGCCGTGCAGCGTGCCCACCCACGGCACGGCGCCGCCGAGGAGGCCGCGCACGCGGGCGGCGAGCTCCTTCGCGGCTCGGTTTGTGTACGTCACCGCGACAATGGAGCCTGGAGCTGCCGCGCCCTCGCGGACAGCCCTGGCGATCCGGGCCGCGAGGAACAGCGTCTTGCCGCTGCCCGGCCCCGCGAGCACCAGCAGCGCCGAGCTCAGCGGCGCCTCCGCCGCGGCGCGCTGCTCGTCCGACAGGCGGGCGCGCCACGCCGCCGCGGGCGCCGCGGGCGCCGCCGCCCGCGGCGCCGCCTGCGGCGCACGCGGCGCTGGCGAGCGGGCTGCGCCCGCGGGGGCTCCGCCGGCGGCGCCGCGGCCAGCGGGCGGGCCGCGCGCGGCGAGACCCTCTGGCGCCCACTCCTCCTCCTCCTGCTCCTCCTCGGCCTCTTCGGCGGCAGCTCATGGAAGCCTCCAAGCCTCCCAGACCATCTTCTTGGCTCTTGCGATCGACGCTCATCGGCGCTATTCGGCGCGACATTGACGCAAATGGATGCTAGCGCTGTCTCGCCGATTACCAGACCCTGTGGCGAACGCAAGTGCACTCTGAAGACGGACTTCCACGGACGCACGAGGCCCCCCTGATTTGCTACCGATGCCTCTGCCTCGCCGCGGGGCCCCGCGGCAAAGTGCCTGGACCTGGGGAAACCAAATGCACCGATACCGCCACTCCCCAGGACCTCTCCCGGGGTGCGTTCTGACCAGCATTCCGAAGCGACTCCAGCGGTGGCGACGAGGGCCGCCCAGGAGGCCCAGCCAAGGGAAAACGCTGGCGAGGAGTAGCGGTATGGGTACCTTTTGCTCCTCCGAGCCCGGACCTCTTCGCCGCGCGAGGGCCCGCCGACCCGGCGGGGGGCGCCAGCGAGCGGGCGTGTTGCCCGCTCTGCCGGTGCCCCCCGCGGAACACCGGCGCGGCCACGCGGCATGGCTGCGGCGCGCCCGCGCCGGCGTCCGCCGGGCGCAGGCCGCGCGCCGCGAGGAAGTCGTCGAAGTCCGAGAACGGGTCGCTCCTCTTCGGCTGCACGCAGGATCGGCCCTAGATAGTCAAGACCCCAGGTCCCAGGAGCAATGAAACAACTCACCCGGGGAGGCTTTTCACGATCTTTGACCTCTGGGTGCCTTTGCCGGGCCTCGGGAATGTCAAGAAACGACTCGGGAAGAAAAACGGGTCCCAGGGAATCGGTCGAAACCTCTGGGGGTCGACGTCATTGGAAAAAATCCGGACCTCGGGGGTCTGGGTAATATGCAAGAGTGACCTCTGGTGCGCGGCTTTTGGGGGGCCGCGGGCAGGCCCAATCCACGCGGGCAGGCCAGTACTAGAAGGGGGACCCCCCGTGAGCCTGCACCACAGAAGGTCACTCCGGCGAAGGGTCCCTCTTGCGCGGGGCCTGGCCTTTGTGCACATGGCTCCATGTGGTGGGGGGGGGGGGGGGGGGCGGCGCGGCGCAGCGGGCAGGCCCGCGACTGGTTGGGCCAAGCTGGCCTGGAGCTAAGGGGCCAGACAGGGGTCAGCGCCTGCGCGTGAGCTCCTGGTGCTGGTTCCCCCGCACTGCACCCCCTCTGCCGCTCCTCCAGCCCCTCCTCGTGCTCCACCTGCTCTTCCCACGTCCGCCAGCGGCTGCCTCCCCAGACCCCCGACGTCATGATTTTTCATGACGTCGACCCCCAGAGGTTTCGACCTGTTCCCCAGGGCCGGTTTTTTTCATCCTGAGTCATTATCGGACGGTCCCGAGGCACGGTAGGGGCCCCGAGAGGCCGAAATTTGTGAAAAACCTCCCGTCGTAATTACTTCATGGCTCCTCCTGCTCCTCCTGCTCGCTGCTCGCTGCTGCTCGCTGCTGCCTCGCGTGCCGCCGCGGCTCCCCTGCCTATGGCAACCTCGCCGCCTCCTCCGAGCAATTCACGAGCCCCCCTCCTCGGGTGGGGCGGGGGGCTTCGGAGGCGCCAGCCCCTGGGCACTCGTCCGGCGGGCACGCGTCGCCCTCCACCGCGGCCATCGCGACCGCCGCCTCGGGCTCCTTCGCCCGCAGGTGCGTCAGGCCACCGCTGGCGGAGGGCAGGGCCTCTGCATCGTTCTGTGCTCGCCCGCCGGCAGGGTCCGCGCACAGCCCGGGATGCAGCAGATCGGGACGATGACAACGTCATGAGGCGATTGGCTCAGGATTCGTTCGGGCGATGCCGCAGTTTCTGGCGGCCTTCGGCCATTCTCACTTGGCCATTCGTCCCTGGCCGCGCGGGAATAAGCTCAGAATACCTGGAGATCCTGATGCGTCTGATGATCACGACTTGTCGCTCCTCCAACATGTTGGAGGTCTCCAACATGGGGCCGGAGGAAACGTGGCCGGAGCATCGCAACGCGGCGCGATACATCGGTGATGCGTCTGCGACGTCGTGGAGAAAATCGGGCTCCAGGTCTCGCCGAGTTGCCGGTGTATCGGCGATGCGGCGCGCTCCTCCAGCCCAATTTGGGAGGCCTGGCCACGTGAAGCTGCCGCGCGCTGGTGCCCGCGACAGGCCTGTTGCCGAATCGGGCCCGGCGGAAGAGCGGCATGCCGGCGAGCCCCGTCAGCACGCGTGAGGCCTGCCGCTCCGGCCCTGCGGAATTCCGAGCACGAGCGCCCCCCCCCGCCCCTCTGACCGCCCAGAGGAGCTGCAATGAGTTTTGCTGATCCCAACCATCCGCAGCGCCCCGCGTCCACCCCCCTCCCGCCTCCTCCCAGCGCCGCGCGTCTCACCCCCCCGTTGCCCTCTCCCCTCCTTGCCACTGCTGTACCTATGCCCATGCGGGCGCACGCCTCACACGTTTCGTGGCCCTGCAAGGAGCTCCACCGAGGGCTCACGTGGCGAAGTTTACACGCGTGCCAGCGGCCATTTCCGCACACCGCTCACACGTTCCGTGGCCATAAACTCCGCCGTGACAAGAACTTCCCCTGAAATGCGACAACACGAAATCACAAAGGGTGAAAATCGGGCCGGCCCATCGGATATTTGTTTCGCATGTGAAAGCCCAATGGAATCATTGAGCCGGGATCTGGGACAGGCTGGGATAATCCCACCAGCCCTATGAGCGTAGGTGGTTTAACAAACGTTGCCTCCTATCTTCCACCAGGCCCTCCTTTCCCTGCTCGGGCCACTGTTCCATGTTGATAAACACCCCCTCCCCCAGGCGACCCGCAGCCAACCAGGAACAATGCCGACCCTATGATCACACCTCCCAACCATCCCTGTAACAAAAACAATACCAGACACACTAGACATTGGGCTTGACCGGGGGTCAGAGAACGGGTTCGTCTGTAGGAATGGCCCCAGAAGTGGCAGGGGAAGCGATTACAACGGAAATCAGTTTTCGTTTCTGTGCTAAGGTTTTTGGGGTCAATTTGTTGTTTTGAATTTTGTTTGGGTTAAGCTGTGGCTCCAGATTCGTAGCTGTTGGTGTGCACTTGGAAGTGTCGTTTGTTCTGCACTACTCCATATACGTCGGTATTCGGGGTGGGTTGTCCGATGGGTTAGGCGCGGCCGCCGGCTTCGACCAGTGCCCCAGGGCATCGGTGTTCGGCCTTGGTTTTGCAGCTGTGTCTTGCGATGCAAGTTGGTCTTCGGCCTCGGTATTAGTCTTCGGCATCGGTCTTGCGACGCCGTCCGTCTGCGACCTCGGTCCACATGGTAGAACAACGAAGATCGACTTCAGATTTGCGACGGGGGGGCGGTCTTGATTTCCTGAGTTCTGCGTGCACCATCGCTCGCCGACAGCGCGGTCCCAATTGGGTCCCGCGACGCGTGGCTCGTTCTATGGCCCGCGGCGCCAACGGCCTCGTTGCCGCGGAGCACGCGAGCACGCGCTCGTCTGCGCGAGTTTTGTTTCGCACCGCGCAGCGCGAAGCGCGCGAACGCACGAGCGCACATCGCAACAGCGAGGCTTCGATGTCACGCGCTGTTGGCGCGGGGACTCGCGCTGCACATCCAACGGAAGTGGGCGAGTCTGCTGAAAAGAGCACCGCGCGCGCGTCGCCCAGCTGCCAGAAGCAAGTCCCTCCACCGCGCCAGTCCAGCACTTTGGGCGGCGACTGTTCGAGCGATGAAAACGACGATGGTGGCGACGAGGACGGCGATGATAATGCGAAGGAGACAAACATTAGGCTGTCACACGTGAGCATTCCAAATGAAATTCTTGAAGAGCCCTCATGGGGTTCAATTGGGCCGTATCAGGGCAGTCTTGGGTTCCTGTGGGGCCGTCTTGCGGGCCCCTTGCGGCTTTCCTGGGTTGCTCTGGGCTCCGCGTGAGCCGTCTTGAGTCTCTCTTGCGGCCTTCGTCGGGGCGTCGCGGGGGCGCCTGGGTCCGTCGTGGGTCGAAAGGCCCTCCCGGGCCGTCTTGGGTCCCTTCGGCTGTCTTCGCAGGCTGTCCTGGGGCTCTCTTGGGGCCGTCCTGTGCCGCATTCTAAAGGTTTCTCGGCTCATTGTCGCGGCGTCTTGGGCCGTCTCAGGGCAACGTGGGAGGCTTCGTTGGCCGTCTCAGGCTGATTGAAGCCGGAAGCGACTATGTCGCCAAATCAACGAAGCGCCGTATCAAAATCAGCGAGTGTCGTACCGAGGGTCTTTCGGGGTCCTTTTGGAGCCCTCCTGAGCCGTCCTGGGACGTATTTGGGGGCTTCTCTGAACCATCTTGGTTCCGTGCTGGGCCTCCGCGGTGCCGCGTTGATTTGTCTCGGAGCCATCTTTGTCCGTCCAAGAAAGGACCTGAGGCCATCTTGGCGGCCGATTGCCACCCGGGGCCGTCTTGGGAGACTTGGAGAGCCTCGGGGAGTCTACGCGGTCTCCCGGGAACCCTCTGGAGAAGGGGCGGCGCGCGGGAACGCGCGCGGCGGGGCGGGCGAGCCCCCTCAGCGAATGGAGAGAACCTACCAGACAGCACTTGGCATTCGCACGCTCCACTATCGCGGCGGCGCGGCGCCGCCTGGCGCGCGCGAGCGAGATTGAGGCGGCCTCTGCGCCGCCGCGCGCGCGACGGCTAGAAGGGCGCTCGCGTTGGATTTCCCGCGCGCGCGACGGCTGGGCACCTCCGCGCGCGGAAGACGCAGCGCGAGCGGCCTTCCGCCGGACGTGCCTCTGAGGCCGCCGGAGTCTCCCAGCGCGTCGTGGCCGAGTCTCGCCCGCCATTCGCCCTTGCGGCCCCGTGCGAGGGAGGCGGTCGCGCGGTCGACCTGGGGCGGTCAGCTGGCTTATGGGCGGCCGATCCAGGCGGTCAACTCGGGCGGTCAATTCGGGCGTCCAACGCGCGGCCGGGCGGTCAGCGCGCGGTTAGGCGGGCAACTCGGGCGGTCAATTCGGGCGTCCAGCGCGCGGCCGGGCGGTCAACGCGCGGCTGGGCGGTCCACCTGGGCGGTCAATTCGGTCGGTTACGGCGCGGCGGGGCGGTCAACGCGCGGCTGGGCGGTCAACCCGGGCGGTCAATTCGGTTGGTCAACGCGCGGCGGGGCGGTCAACGCGCGGTTGGGCGGTCAATCTGGCCGATCAACTCATCAAAGCGCGCGTCGGCCGATCAACTCGGCCGATCAACTTGGCCGACCAACTGGGCCGATCAACTCGTCAACGCGCGCGCGGTCAACTCGGCCGATCAATTTGGCCGATCAGCTGGGCCGATCAATTCGGCCGATCAACTCGGCCCATCAACTCGGCTGATCAACTCGGCCGACCAACTCGGCCCATCAACTCGGCCGATCAATTTGGCCGATCAACTCGGCCGATCAACTTGGCCGTTCGACTCGGCCGATCACTTTGGCCGGTCAACTCGCCTGGCCCCTTTGGTCGGTACTTTCGGGCGGCCAAGTCGGGGGGGTCAACTCGGGCCGTCAATTCGGGCGCGGGTGCCTGCGCGCGCCGCGGGTGCCTGGGCGCCTCCGCCCACGCACGCCGCCAGCGCATGGGCGCGCTCACCCGCTCTCGCAGTGGGTGCCCGAACGGCTTCATTCACAGCTTCCCAGGCCAGTGAGGTTCGCGTGGCCCGGAGTTTTCTGGGCCCGCTTGGTTTCGGGCGATCCAGTATCGCCCAAGCTATCGAAGCCTCGGTCGCCCCAGAGCCTCCTAGACCCTTGCGCCTCGAGCGATCCAGGGCCTACTAGACCCTTGCGCTGGGACCCTCTGGTGGTTGGATTTCACGCAAATCGCTCGGCTGGCGCCGAAACAAGGCGCCCTTCGATAATCCTTCGCAAAAAAACCGCTCGCGCACTGCGCGAGATAGGACTGCAGCGCAGCGCGCGTCGCCCAAATCGCATGGCTGTCGCCAAGACAGAGGAAGCCCTGGCAATCGAAGTTCGCAACATCCGTTCAGCTGACGCCGAGGCAACCGCTCGGCCAACGCCTCCACGCCGCCGCGCGCGCGCGGCAGCGCTGAGCCACGCGGAGGCATGCAACGGGAGCGGCCTCTGCGCCGGCGGTTTCTGCGACGCCGCGCGGTTTCTGCGACGCCGCGCGAGGGGGCGCCGTGCCGTCGTGCGCAGAGGAACGCAATGGAGGCGGCCCTTGCGCTGCCGCGCGAGCGGCGGCGCTGGGCCGTCGCGCGTGGACACATTGTGGCGAGGCCAGCTTCTGCGCCGTCGCTCGCGCGGCGTCGCTGGGCCGTCGAGCGTTGTGACACGCAGCGGGGGGGGGGTCTCTGCGCCGCCGCGCGCGCGGCGGCGCTGGGCCGTCGCGCGCGGAGGACGCGCCGCCGGCGGCCCCTGCGCCGCCGCGCGCGCGGCGACGCTGGGCCGTCGCGCGCGGAGAAGCGCATCGCGAGCGGCCATTGCGCCGCCGCGCGCGCGGCGGCCGCCTGCGTGCGCGAGGAAACGCAATGGAGGCGGCCCCTGCTCCGCCGCGCGCGCGGCGGCGCTGGGCCGCCGCGCTCAGAAAAATGCGACGAGACCAGCTTCGGCGCTTCCTTGCGCGCGGCGGCGCTGGGCCGTCGTGCATGGAGAGGCGAAAGGGAGGCGGCCTCTGCGCCGCCGCGAGCGCGGCGGGCTGGGGCCATCGCGAGCAGAAAACGCGGCGCGAGCCGTTCCCGCGCCGCCGTGCGCGCGGCGGCGCTTTGCCGTCGTGCGCGGAGAATTTGATGGTGGCGACCTTTGCGCCGCCGCGCGCGCGGCGGCGCTGAGCTGCTTGCGTAAGAATGCGATGGGGGCGGCCCCTGCGTCGCCGCGCACGCGGAGGCGCTGGGCCGCCCCCCGCGGGAAACGCAGGCGTTGGGCCGTTGCGCGTGGAGAAATGCAACGGGGGCAGCCTCTGCGCCGCCGCGCGCGCGCGGGGCAGGATTTGGCCGCTTTGCGCAGAGACATCGACATCAGGCTGTCTTCTCAGTTAGCGCGCTACGGCGGCGGGGTTTGCACCGCTGGCGCCCGACAGCGTTTCGCGGAAACGCGGGCCTGTTGTAGGCTGCCTTGTCTGGTCGTAAACGCGGCTGTGCTCGACGGGCGCTGGTTTGCCCAATGATTTGCGAGCGTGTTAGCGCAGGTCCGTTCGAGTGCACCATATCATTGAATGCGTTGTTTTTGTTATTCGCGTGTCCTCTAAGCTAGTTTACACATCGATTTCGGCTTTTTGCCCAGGCGTGTGAGGCTGCCGTTTGCAATGAAACCCTGGGAGACGACCTCATAATTTCAAGTTTTAGATGGAAGCCATGCTGGGCCCTCGGTGCAACGGAAATCTGGACCAGACATTTCGCGCACCAAGAGCACGTTGACGCGAAACTGTGCGAACCAAGAGCCACGGCAACGAGCGACTAAGACGGCCCTGCCGACGCCCCTGCGGGCTCTCCTACAGACCTGACCCCCCAGACATTCCCAAACTAGACACACTCTGCCTCCAAATTCGGAGCATGCGAAACCAACCCGACAGGGACGGCGGGGGTGTAAGCAACTCTCAGCTGTGCGCAGGGCCACCACCCCTGCCAAAAACAATACAAAATGCAACTCGCTGCTAAATCTGGATCATTAGCGGCCTCCCCGCGATCACTGCCAAGTGGTTACTGATGGGTACGGCGGGGGTGGTACCGTATGGCCTGCTGTGCGCAGGCCCACCAAACACAATGATGGGCAGTGGTTTTCGACAAGGATGGTGGGGGCCGACATGATTCCCGATGTGTGCGGTCACGTGCGCAGACGCACCCGACACACTCTGCACATGCCCCGAACGTGGCGCACCTGGCGCGGCTGGAGTACGCGGCACACCTGGCGCACGTGGAGCACGTGGCACATCCGGAGCACCAGGTACTCGTGCCCCAGGGGTGCCTGGCGCACGTGGCGCGCCCAGCGTCGCGCACATGGGGTCGATGTTGGTTCCCAGTAGCTGCTCATCCAAAGACGACCGCTGAACATGATGAGGCTCGAGCGTTATGTTATGTGTTGGGAGGGCGGGTGGGAGTGAGCTAGACGGCTTGCTATCTATGAGGGTGTCTCGACCCCTCCCCCTACCCACCATCCCCTGGACCTGGGAGGAGGGGCGGCCGAGGGGTTAGCTAGATGGCCCCAAGAGGGCCCCTGAGAGCACAAGATGGCCTCCCAAATGGCTCAAGACACATCAGGATGGTTCAATATAGCCTCCGACACACATGAACCCAAGACGAAGAGGCCTCAAGACACACACACGAACCCTAGCCTCCGACACACGACATCTAAGAGGCCTCAAGACGAACCCAAGACGGTTTCGAGTGCCTTCCGAGCCCTCGAAGGACCCCCCCAAGAGGCCAAAATGGCTCCCAAACCTGTGGATTATCAAAGTGGTTTGCCTCCTCGCCCTTTCGCTTCCGATGAGCTCTTCAGGCCTCCAGATGGCCCCAAACGTCCCAAAACAGCCCCGAACGGGGCTCAATAGCAGCCAGGCAGCCCCAAAAGCGCCTGAGAGCGTCCCCAGAGGGCCTCAAAACGTCATATTGTAGCGCCCCTGGGGGGCCTGAATCCGTGGCCCCCCTCTCTCTGAGACATGTGGCGCAGCACGGCCCCAAGAGGCCTCCCAGACCCCCAAAGAGCCCGAAGAGGGCCCCAAGAAAGCCCCCAAGAGAGCCCCCAACGGGCCTCAAGAGTGCCCCAAAGACTCCGCGAGAACCCTCAGAAAGCCCCAAGATGGCTCCAAGAGACCTCCGAGAAAGCGCTTCCGAGGCGGTTGTCACACTGCATGCTTCTACACTGCCCTGATCAAGGCAACTCGCATGGCGGTATGTTTCTGGATGGGCTGGTGGGGATACGCAAAGCGTCCAAAATTTTTCAAATGAAAGTCCAATGGGGTAACTTCCGACCAGGATCTAACATGCATTATGACTTGATCACGCACCAGGACCCCGAGGGCTTAATTGTCCCACCGCTTGGTGAAGCCCGGCACGGCACTTCTTGCTGGGAGTATACAAAGGGGAGGTGGGGGGCTGGTGCCATTTTGGCACGTCTACGGCCCCTCGAAATTCCCCAGGAACTCTCATCACGCCGCTGTCAGGAGCTCCACCAGAGGTCCCACTGGCAAACTGCGCCTGCGTGCCCGCTCGGGAACCCCAATGGGTCTGCAGTAAAGGACACTCTGGCGAAGGGTCACTCTTACGTGTATAGTCGGGGGAGTCACCTCGTCCCGTGCCCCAGCCCGCATCCGTCCAAATCGGTCCCAGGACCCTTCCTCCTCTTCCTCCACCTCCTCCTCCATCTCCTCCTCCCTCCTCCTCCTCCATCTCCTCCTCCCTCCTCCTCCTCCTCCTTCTCCTCCTCCTCGATCCTTCTCGGGGTCCATCCTGAATCGTTTGCCGACGCGGATTCGACCGACTTCCAACGCGCATCCAGCCGTTCTCGACCGGTGCCTCCTGGAGGCCCCCACACGGAGCGACCACCGACCGGGGAAGACCGCCTGCGGCCCCGCCTGCGGCCCCGGGCCACCGTCCGGCCGCACACGGACCCCTCTGGGGCGCGGGCCGCCAGCAGCAGCGCCAGCGCCGAGGCGGCGGCAGCCGCAGGGCGCTGCATTGCGCGCGCGGGGGGTGCGCGAAGGGCTCGGCCCTGGACCGCCGGCGGGTGGTGGCGGTCGCGCTTGGGCAGAAGAGGGAATAATAATCATAATAATAATAATAATAATAATAATAATAATAATAATGTCAATAATAAAACTAATAACCATCATGGTAAGAGTAATAATAATAAATAGTAGTAATAATAATAATCATAACCGTAGTAAAAATAGTAATAATAATGATAGTAATAATAACAATAATAATAATAATAATACAAATATTAGTATTAATAATAATAATACTAAGAAGAAGAAGAAGAAGAAAAACAATAAGAAAACGTGAATGCCATTTTGGCGCTCCGCGCGGGTTTCTTGGATCCGCGCTGGACCCCTCATCCCTGGCGCGCGGAGCGTGCCAGGGGCGGCGCCGAAGGCGCCGCTGGGGGGGCCCAGGCGCCGATCCAAGAAATCCGCGCGGAGCGCCAAGAGTTTGTGTTTATGGCATTTTGTTTTTTTCTTCGATGTGGGGCTTGGGCTCGGCCGAAGGGCGGATAGGGGGGGCATGCAAGGGGGCGCGGGGGTAGGGGGGGGGCGGGGGCGGGGAGAGGTGGAGGAACGGGATGGATCGATCGAGCTCGCGGGCCAGTTCGGTGCTACCCACGACATCGGCTAGTAAAGCACTGCAGCTTTCAAAGATCTGGTAGGATCTGGCTGCGCACGCCGTCTACCAAAAGGGGGGTCGCTGGCGCCACTTGTCGCCCTGGCCCTGGCTGCCCCTTCTCTCCCCGCGCATGGGACTGTGGGCAAGGTGGCACCCGCTCCAACGGATGTCGGATGAACAAGAAAGTTTCTACATCAGCGCAAAACTACCCCTCCGGACACTCAGGTGACGGGGTGAGGCCACCTGAGGCCTGCGCGTACCTTGCCGCACACCGCCGAGGTGAACAAACCCAAGAACCGCCGTGACCATGCGACATGGGAAGACATTCGGGATGGCATTGCACAGACAACCACCCTCCACGATAATTCCAAGAAGAGTATGCCAATGGCTAGCCGTTGGAGCCACGCACGGAGAAAGCATTCAGGAGCCACTCAAGGAAAAGCAATCCGATTCACTTGCGTACCCGGCACACCGAAGCAGACGAAGACCCCAAACGAGCTGGAATACCCACACGAGACGCACCAGCCATACCTCGCTTCGGGCATACTGTGCCGTGCGCCAGGAATCTGCAGGAAGAAAAACCGAAAACGCCGCCCCTCCCCGGGGTCGGGGGGCAGCCCCGCCGGAGCCCGCACCGCCTCCCAGGGCGGCCTGACATCACCAGCAGCTCCCGCAGCGCAGGGCCGCATGCCGAGGACGACGAGGAGCGACCGGGCCCCGGAACGCTCCGAAGCTCCGCGCGCGGCCCCGGCGCCCCGAGCGGGAGCGCGACAGCTCGCGAGGAGGAGCGGCGTCCGAGCGGGGGTCACCTCGTCGCCAGCAGCGGCACCGCCCAGCACCCAAGGAGCCCGACCTCGCCCTCCCACGGAGTGGGAGCGCGCTCGGCACGCGGCTGCACGAGGAGCCCCGACCCCCGACGTCGTCCTTCACTTCCTGACGTCGACCCCCAGAGGTCTCGACCTCTTCCCCCTGGGGGTCCCGTTGTCCATCCTCTGAGTCATCTCTTGACGGTTCCGAGGCCCGTGGCAGGGGCTCCCAGAGGTCGAACACTGCGAAACACCTCCCGTCGTGATTTCTCTTCAGTGCTCGAGGGGGTCTGGGACCGTGGTCTCGGGCAGGTCGACGGGAACCCGGCGGCACGACGAGCACAGCACGCGCACAACCACGGGTGCGGTGGCTTCCGACCTCGTGGGCCACGGGGCTCGGCACGGACTCGATCGCGCCGGCGCGCACAGAGAAGGCCTGGCCAACGCACGGCGAAGAGCCCCTCCTCGCCTCCAGCCTGGCACCACACGAAGGTGCCCACGAGGCGCCTATGCTGTGGCACGGGCGGCAACGTGGCGCAACCTCGGCATCATGTCCAGGCGCGGGGCGCTCACGAGGCGCCCACGAGGCGGCACGGGCTGCAGCGTGGCGTAAACTCGGGGAACCCAACCAGCGCACGTGGGCGCCCGCGACGCGCCTACGAGGCGGCACGAACGGCAACGGAACGAGAACCCAGAATGCCCCAGCAATAGCTTAACCATGTTCACCAGCGTGGGCCCCGCACGGTGCGCCATTGCCCTGTGGAGGTGAGAGCTATGTCGTGCAAGCTATGTGGTGGGAGGAATGTCGTGTAGGCGATATGGTGGGAGGTGCGGAGGTGGAACCTCTGCGGCATATGCTGCGTGGTGCCAGCTATGTAGCGCACGCTGTGCGGACTGAGCTGGAGGTGGTAGGCCATGTGATGCAGGCCATGCTCTGCAGGCCATGAGGTGTAGGCCGTGTGGAGCGCCCACGAAGCGCCCACGAGGCGGCACGGGGCGGCAGCGCGGCGCAGCCTCGGCATACCCCCGCAGCGCGGGCCGCCCAGGAGGCTTCAGCGAAGCGGCGCGGGCGTCCGCGCGGCGCAACCTCGGCACTCCCGCCCAGCGACCGGGGCGCCCACGAGGCGCCCACCAGGTGGCACGGGCCCGCGACGTGGCGAAAGCCGGGAGCATCGCGCCCAGCACGCATGGGAATACGAAGAAAAGTCGCCGGGTGCAGGCACGGCGTGAGGAGGGAAACGGAAGAGCCCCATCTGTGTAGGCACTGCCTGCGGACTTCATCAGCTCAAAGAGGTGTCCCACGACACCCTCCGTGTTGTAGAGGGTCTGCCCGATCGGACTCCGCACGTGCTCCGAAAGTGCAGAGCCCCTGCCATCAGGCCATAGGACGTCTCAACAGAGAGACCCATGCTCAAAAGAGAGCCGTCCTTCGTCCAGCGCCGTCCCTCCGTCGGTGCAGCTGTTTCAACATTGAGCTCTGGCGCAGAATGCTGGAGAACGGCTCCAGAGGGAGCCCATTCTGAAAACGAGCCACCCTCCATCCGCGCAGTTGCTGCAAGCTTCTACGACGAATATGTGTGCTGCGCTGTGTCGGGAGAGCCATTTTGCCAACCAGTCACCCTCCATCCGTGAAACTGCTGCGAAGTGTTGTGACGTCGAGAAAACCATTTTGCCAACCAACCGCCCGCCATCCGTGCAACTGCTGCGAAGTGTTGTGACGATTATGCCTGGCGCAAAAGCGACAGCCCCGTTCTGAAAACAGCATATCCTCCGTCAACGTGCTTTTTGGACGGTGTGAGGCAAGTGTGCGCGGCACCAAAATAGGACCCCCGACTTGAAGAACGACGTATGCTCCATCCGCTAGCTGCTGGAAATCCCCTGATTCGAGATCGTGAGTTGCGAGCGGGTCTCAAATAAGTGACGACGAGTACGGCAACGTGGAGTTTGAGTAAGAGGCGGATAATGAGTAAGAGGCAGAGAAGGTGGAGGACGTGGATGCTGACAAATAACCTGAGAGGAGATATGGAGGAAAAGGGCGATGAGGATAACCAGAATCAGAAGGAGGAGGCGGAGCAGCCGAAAGAGGTGACACGGGAGGAGGATAAGGAGGAAGAGGAGATGGAGACAGGCTAAGAGAAAGAGGGGGGATGGAGAAGGACAGGGATGAGGATCAAGCGGAGAGAATGGATGAGGATTCCGAGAACAGAAGAGCGGAGATGAGTAGAACAGGGGAGAGGGGGAGAAAGAGAATCTGTCAGGATAGTGAGGGAAATGGGAAGGCACAAGAGGAGGAAAGGGCAGCCGCGAAGACATGACAACGGGGAATGGGAATGGAGGGAGGGAGGGAGAGAGGGAGAAGCGGGCACAAAGTGATATGAGGGGAAGGAGGATGAGGAGTAGAAGTGGGCGCAGCTCCGTGAGGAGGACGGCATCGACTTCGAGGGGGGAGCAGGAGCAAGAGCAGAAGACAGAACTACACATATAGATATTCATGTGCGTAAAAGTTTTCTCAATTCGGCCATGTGGGGCAGTCCGCATAACGTCATTGCCCCAAAACTGTTCGCTCCTACACTTCTGTGCGGGGGTGTGTGCGCTGTCCCGCAGAGATGGGAATCAGCAAAATACGCCGCGTGCCCAGGCACACGATCTGATAGAGCAATCATGGCAACATGTGGCGGTTAATTACGCTCGACTCCACCTCAGGACATCGCTCTTCTTTGGAGCAAGGCCCCCGCTCGAAGAGTAAGGATGACACGGAGGAGGACGAGGAGGCGGCTCGAAAAGAGGGACGGAGAGAGAGGGAGAGAGCCGTGTGACGACCAGACTGCTCAGCCAGAGCACCACACCTCGAGGCGCGGTGCTCTCGCACCACCGCCATTCGGTGTATGAAACGGTGGCGGCTGCGTCAGCTTCCGGCTTCCGCGCGCGGCAGGCCCGTCTCGTGACGACCACGGCGTTCGTCGGCCACACGCAAGAGGGACCCTCTGGGTAAGAGCGACTTTTGGTGCGCGGCCTTTGGGGGGCCGCGTGGGGACCAAACCTGGGCGCGCAAGCCGTTGCTCCTGCGTCGTTTTCAGCCATCTGGGGACCCATCTGTGCCCGCACCAGAGGCCGCTCTGGCGAAAGGTCACTCTTACGTCAGGTCGAGTTGGTCCCCTGACCCCGAGCGGATCGTTCAACACCGAAAGCTCGCGGCCCTCCGACAGCGCACCTCGTTCCATGTCGGCCGGCTCCGGGCCACCGGCGGCGTTCTCTGCCTGACGCACGCCCGCGCTGGGGGCCGCCACCGCGCAGGCACGACACGAGCCTCCCCGAGACTCGGAGGTAGGATTGCCACGCCCTCCCGCCCCCGGAGCCAGCCTCCCACCGCCCGGGGCCAGGCTCCTGCTGCAGAAAAGCCACGCCCCATATGGGGAGGGGATCTTGCGCACCAGGGCCACGACCGGGACCCTCGCTCGCCCGCCGGGGCTCGCTTGGGTATTAGTCTACCTTTGTGGATGCCATGACAGTGGACAGTCTAACAATCCGATCATGGGATTAAACATGTGTTCACGGTGTGGAAAACATGTTTTAGCAATGTTTCAAGCATGTTCTTACATATCTACAACATGTTTGAAACGTGTTCTAGACATCTGGACATTATTTGGCAACATGCTTCCTCTCCATTGATCGTCCTCCACAATCCTGGCCAGGGACTCCTGTTGCGGCCTTAAGTTGCATCTTCGGGGGGCCTAATGTGTCCCCATCGCGCCACCATCCGTGCCGAAGCCGTGTCTAACGTCGAGTCCGCGTCGGCCACGTCGGATCCGTGTCGAATCCGCGTCACGTCCGTGCCGAAGCCGAGTCGGGTGCACGAAAGAAGACTGCAGTGCAGAGGACAAACGAGGTCCCCCGAAGAGGCATCGTGAGAAGGCAACCTCCACCTATCAGGCCTGCACCCTAGCCCCTCCCATGACCTCTCCCAGCCCCACCTGGCCCCCAACCTGCAGTCATAGTGCTAGTGTTAGGTCGCACATGTCATCATACAGGCGGGTTTTATAAGACAAACCAATCATAGTCAAAAAAATCAGCCTGGCGAAGAAACCAACCATATGCAGTTGTGAAGTACCGCAGTTGTGGGTATCGTGCTCAGTGGAGCTCCCTCTGGGGCAACGAAACGCTGTACTGGCTGGGGGTACGCATGCGGACTGTGCCACTGGGGCTATCAGTGAAGCTCCCGATGGGGCCACGAAAAGATGTACTGGAAGTGGGACCCGCATGCGAACTACGACACTGGGACCTTCGGTGGAGCTTCCTCCAGGGCCACGAAGCGCTGTACTGGGCGGGGGGACGCATGCGAACTGCGCCACTATGACCTTCGGTGGACCTCCCTCTGTGGCCACGAAACGCTGTATTGGGCGGGGTGGACGCATGCGAACTGCGCCACTGGGACCTTCTGTGGAGCTCCCTCTGGGGCCACGAAGCGCTGTACTGGGCAGGGGGGGCCGCATGTGAGTTCTGCCACTGGGACCTTCGGTGGATGTCCTTCCTGGCCACGAAACGCTGCAAGGGGTGGGGAAGCCGCACGCGAACTCCGCCACTGGGACCTTCGGCGGAGCTCCCTCTAGTGCCAAGGAACGCTGTATTGGGCGGGGGAACCGCATGCGGACTGCGCCACTGGGACCTTCGGTGGAGCTCCCTCTGGGGCCACGAAATGTTGTACTGGGTGGGGGTGACGCATGCGGACTGTGCCACTAGGACCTTCGGTGGAGCTCCCTTCAGGGCCAGGAAACATTGTAGTGGGTGGGGGGGCGCATGAGGACTGCGCAACTGGGACCTTCAGTGGAGCTCCCTATGGGGCTATGATGCGCTGTACAGGCAAGGGGGGACGCGTGCGGACTGCGCCACTGGGACCTTCGGTGGAGCTCCCTATGGAGCCACGGAGCGCTGTTGAGCTCCCTCTGTGGCCACGGAACGCTGTACTGGGTGGGGGGGGGCGCATGCGGAGTGCGCCACTGGGACCTTCGGTGGAGCTCCCTCTGGGGCCACGAAGCGCTGTACTTGGCAGGGGGGGACGCAAGTGGACTGCGCCACTGGGACCTTCGGTGGAGCTCCCTCTGGGGCCACGAAACGTTGTACTGGGTGGGGGTGACGCATGCGGACTGCCTTCGGTGGAGCTCCCTTCAGGGCCAGGAAACATTGTAGTGGGTGGGGGGGCGCATGCGGACTGCGCCACTGGGACCTTCAGTGGAGCTCCCTATGGGGCTATGCTGCGCTGTACAGGCAAGGGGGGACGCGTGCGGACTGCGCCACTGGGACCTTCGGTGGAGCTCCCTATGGGGCCACGGAACGCTGTTGAGCTCCCTCTGTGGCCACGGAACGCTGTACTCGGTGGGGGGGGGCGCATGCGGAGTGCGCCACTGGGACCTTCGGTGGAGCTCCCTCTGGGGCCACGAAGCGCTGTACTTGGCAGGGGGGGACGCATGCGGACTGCCCCACTGGGACCTTCGGTGGAGCTCCCTCTGGGGCCACGAACCGTTGCGCTGGGTGGGAGAGACGCACGCGAACTGCGGAGGAGGGAGGAGGGGGAGGAGGGGAGGAGGAGGGGAGAGGAGAGGAGAGGAGAGGAGAGGAGAGGAGAGGAGAGGAGAGGAGAGGAGAGGAGAGGAGAGGAGAGGAGAGGAGAGGAGAAGAGAGGAGAGGAGAGGAGAGGAGAGGAGAGTAGGAACGCGGGGCGCTGTCTCTTCAAAACGAGGACCCAACACCAGAGGATGGTTGGGAAACGGTCAGAAGTCGTCCCCAATGACTATTATTTTATTATGTTTGCAGACTCCTTCTGTAGAGGGACATAACCGACTTAGTGCTACTGTGACGCACGCTGAGCAAGGGGCCGAGGGCACGGCGAGCCACGACCACGACCGGAGGCGCTCCCTGGCCTGGACCGGGAGGAGCGGCCGGCAACCAGAGCCCCCGCTGGACCCCCGGCGAGTGGCCCTTACTTTTTGGGAATCTTGGCTGCGCAGTGATGGCCCGACCACAAGAAGCCTTCCACAGGAAGCCCAACCCTGAGACCCCAGGGCGTCCACTGATCTTTGGCGTGGGAGCGTCACGCCTTCCACGGCAAAGCCATCAAAACCCACGAAGCCCAGGGCACCCGTGTTTTTATGGCGTGGGCCCCCGCTGCAGGCCACCCGACTGTATGACTTCGCGCATCGAGACGCCGCCCCAACGGGAAAGGCAGTTCTCTGGCCTGGGCCGCGACGGGCGGAGCGCGAGCATGTTCGCGCTCCTTGGGGTGGCCTTGCTGGTCCGCCTCGAGCTCATCCCTTCGACCTCATCCCTATGTGGCGGCGCACAGGGGGGTTCATTTAGGGGGAGGGGGAAGGCTTATTGGACGGGTGCTGCTTCTTAGAAGACGCCGGCCTTACTTGTGTAGAGAAGGCACCAGCTTTCTAAAGAAACAAGGGTGCTTCCAAGAAGCCTTCCCCCCTCCCCCTGCCCCCCTCTGCGCGTGGCCGACCTATCCAACAGATTGACAAGCCCAAGGCAATGCCAGTCCTAGGTATGCCCCCTCTGAAGCTGAGGGTGTCCTCAAGATCGGCACCGAGACAAGGCTCAACATGGATGGGTAGATGTTTCAGGCTGGTGGTGACCTCCCCCGTTGAGGCGCGGCAGCAGATCTGGGAGTGCTATACTACGTGTCAGACACATCTCCCGACTGCACACCGACGCTCAAGGACGTGAGACGGAACCTAAGACAACGCCGCTCAAAAGTCATTAACGCAAGGCTCGACCCCATCTCTGGGCGGGACTCTCCACGGCCACAGGGGCAAGCAACTGGACAACAGCGCCAGCAGTGGCCCTCCCGCGACGCCCGAGCGCGCCCAGACATCCGGCATCTCGAGCTTTGAGAGACACGGGCCTCCGACCTCGACCACTTCCCCAGGAGCAGTTCTTCGTCACGAGTCTTTGCTTGACGGCCCCGAGACCCCGCGAGGGCCCCGAGGGGCAGAACACGATGAAAGACATTAGAGGCCTCCTGGATCGGTTCGGAGTAGATAGGGTCGGAGGATCACGCCGGAGGGTCGCGCCGCATCGCCGATACATCGGCGATTCCTCGGCGATGCATCGGCGACGCACCGGCGATGCATCGTCGACGTCGGCGATGAATCGGCGACGTCGACGTGAAGCAAATCGGACTGCACATCGAGCCGCATCGGCGATGCATCGGCGATGCGGCGCGATCCTCCGACCCTATCTACTTCGACCCCATCTAAGAAGCCTAGATGCGTCTGTCCCAATCTCTTCGAGGCGCCGGATGTCTGGGTGCGGGCACCGCCGCGCTAGTTGACCCAGGCCTCGGCCCTCACCGGGGACCTCCTCCGGGAGGACCCCAGCGGCGGCCGCGGCGATCGAGGGCTGGGATGCTGCCCCGCGGCGGAGGTCGCCGGCCGCTCGCCGCCTGAGGACCTCGGCGACATCTTGGGGAGGTCGCCGGGAGGACCTCGGCCTCCTCCAGTGGAGCTCCTCCTGGGCTTCGAGGCCTTGCTCGACCGCCGCACCTAACCAGCCTCGATCTCATCCTCGTCCCAGAAGAAAAAAGACAGCATAACCCCAGACCCCCTCGAGCAATGAAACAAATCACGACGGGAGGTGTTTCGCCATCGTCGGCCTTTGGGAGCCCTCCCCGGGCTTCGGGAACGTCACGAAACGACTCGGGACGAACCGGTCCTGGGGAATGGGTGGGAACCGGGGGTCGACGTAATGAAAAATCGTGACGTCGGGGGTCTGGGATCTTACCCGTGCCCCAAAATAAAAATCAGCACAAACATATCCCACCAGCCCTCTGGGCGTCGGTGGTTTAGGGCGTTTCCTCTTCCACCCCTCCCTCTTCCCCTTCGGGGAGGCGTTTACCCCTCCCCCTACCCCCTCCCCACTGACCTGGACAGGAGGGGCGGGGAGCGGTCAGAGCGTCCAAAACGGCCTCGGCGAGGAAGCCAAAATCATTGATTTTACTATGGTTTGGGCCCCATTTTGGCCTTCTGAGGGGGCAGCGCTAATTAAGCTCCCCTCTTCTTTGATCGATTTCCTCCACGATGGCCGCAAGAGGCCCCCAGGATGCCCCAAGAGGCCGCAGGATGGCCCCAAGATGGCCCCAAGAGGCCCCCCAAGAGGCCCCCAGGAGGCCCCCAAGAGACCCCCAAGAGGCCCCAAGAGACCCCCCAGAGGCACCCAAGAAGCGCCCAGGAGGCCCCAAGAAGCGCCCAGGAGGCCCCCAAAGGCCCCAAGATGGCCCCAAGAGGCCCCAAGAGGCCCCCAGGAGGCCCCAAAGAGGATCCCGAACGGCCCACAGAGGCCCCCCCGAGGCACCCAAGACGCCGAAAAGCCCCTCAGGACGACCCTCTACTCGCCTGGGCGTCGTTTCTGGACGGGCTGGTGGGGATACGCGAAGCGTCTAGAATTTAGACTGTCGACGGTTCACGCGGATTTCTTGAATTGGCGCTGGACCCCCTGGCTGCGCCTCTGGTGCTCCGCGCACCAAGAAGGGAGGTCCAGCGCAGATGCAAGACATCCGCGCGGTCCGCCAGAAGCTTGTGCTGACGCAGCTTGTTCTTCCTCGGTCCCCCTACGATTGACAAGCCCAGGTGCGATGACAGTCTTAGGGGTTCGTCCTCTCAGTAGAGGCCTCTTAGATATGGTCGGAGTAGATGGGGTCGGGGTATCGCACCGCATCGCCGATACATCGGCGATGCAATGGCGATGCATCGGCGACATCCGCGTCAAGAAGATCGGGCTCCGCATCGGCGATGCATCGGCGAATGCGGCGCGATCCTCCGACCCCATCTACGCCGACCCCATCTAGGAGGCCTAGACTGAAACCGAAGGAACCATCAAGGTCGGCATCGAGATCAGGCGATGCTAATCTTAGGTTGGGCGTTTCCCAGTACAGGCGGATCTTGGACGAACAAAAAAAAACAAGTAGTCAAAACATATGCAAGCAATGCTCATAAATAGTCGGAGATTGCCCCCAGACTATGTTTTTACTATTTTTTGATATCCCTCCTGTAGAGGGACGTGCCCGACATAATGCTAATCGTAGGGGCGGGGATGTGTTCCAGGCTGGTACCCGTACGCACCTCGCCGGCCTCGCTCAGCTTCTGGAGGCTCGCGTCGAGGCTGAAGCCCGCGGCCGCAGGGTTGGGGACGTAGGCCCCCCCCACGGCGGCCCGCAGGATGCCCTGCGCGAGCCCGGAGCGCTGGCCGCCCAGGGCGGCGCCGATCTGGTCGAGCCCGCGGTACCGCCACGCGAGGCGGGCGCCGAGGAGGTAGTAGAGGGCGCAGTCGCTGAAGGCATTGCAATTCTTCCGCAGCAGGTCGTAGCTGCCCGCCCGGAACAGCGGGGAGAGGGCCCTCCTCCGGGGGGAGGAGGAGGAGGAGGAGGAGGAGGAGGAGGAGGAGGAGGAGGAGGAGGAGGAGGAGGAGGAGGAGGAGGAGGAGGAGGAGGAGGAGGAGGAGGACGACGAGGACGAGGAGGGAGGAGGAGGAGGAGGAGGGGGAGAGGAGGAGGAGGAGGAGGAGGAGGAGGAGGAGGAGGAGGAGGAGGAGGAGGAGGAGGAGGAGGAGGAGGAGGAGGAGGAGGGAGGAGGGAACAGGCGCACCGGCACGGCCCACTCTCGAGGATCCTCCGAGCGCGCGCCAGCGCCAGAGTGCCTGTGTCTACAGGAGCCATCCTGCAGTGCGACGCAGGCACCGTGAACCAGGGCCGACACAGGCTGCGTGCAGCTGAGCGAGGGAGTCACACAGTGGGCTAACACAGCCTGCGCATCATCGGTGCCCCCACTCCCAAAGTGCGCTCTGAGCAGAACTTCGAAGCGAGTCCAGGCGCGCTGGCGCCAAGAGAGCGTAAACGATGGAAGGTCATCGCAGTCGGTATATCGTACGTGTTCTTCCCCACAATCCTCATCTCGTCACCCGAGATCCGCGAGTAGCCCATGGCCAACACCGTCGGAGGGCTGCTCACGAACTGCCGATGGCTGCCACAGCCTTTCGAAACGCTCACGCCGGAAGGGCCGAAGCAGTACTCCTGGGGAAACCAAAAGGTACCGATACCGCCACTCCCTGGACCTCTCCCGGGGTGCGTCCTGACCAAGATTTCGAGGCGAATCCAGCGGTGGCGAAGAGGGCAGCCCAGGAGGCTCAAAAAGGGGACAAGGAGGGAAGGGTAGCGATATGGGTACCTTCCCAGACATGCGACGTCCTGCATTTTTCAGGACGGCGTCCCCGGAAGTCCCGACCCTTTCCCCGGGGCCAGCTGGCTTTTCGTCCTGAGTCGTTTTTTGACGGTCCCGAGGCCCGGCGAGGGCCCCCCGAGGCTGACAATAGCCAAACACCTCCCGTCCTGATTTTTGTTCCGACGTGGTCGTGTCTGGGTCTTCCTCCTCCGAACTCCAGGCCGTCCACCAGGACGGAGGTGTGGAAGGCCTCCGGCGGCGCGGCGAGCGGGATGAGGGGCAGATGGGGGGGGGGGGGGGGCCCTGCCGAGAAGGCATGGGGGGGGGCTTCTCAGAGGGGCCTCGGCTAGGGCTCCCAACTTCGCGCTTCGCGCTGCGCGAAGCGCGAAGCGCGAATAACTTCGCGCTCTCGCGCCGCCCTCCCAAAGGGAGAATAGGAGGACGAGGAGGAGGGGGAGAAGGAACGAGGACCGCGAAGCGCGAAGCGCGAATAACTTCGCGCCCTCGAGGGAGCCCTTGCTCGGAGGCTTCCAGGCGAGGTCTGCCCGGCAGGAGGCATGGAGGGTACTCTTGGGTCGGGCATGCCCTCATGCAGGCGGATTTTGGGATTTAGGAGGGAACATCGAAAATGGTCGGATAATTGCTCGAATATAATCAAAACCACGCCCACACACGCGCACACACTCAGAACAAACAAAGAAGGCCGAGTGCGGAGAGTGCGGAGAAGATCGGTCCTGGTGTTTGCCAGTGCTTGCTTTTTCAGGCTCTGGCAAGTTTGCTTGCATGTACGGGGGGGGGGGGCTGAACCTGAAGCAGGCCGCAAACGACTTGACGTGCGGAATTCACGCAAGTCGAAAGGTACTTGCACGCTCGTATTCGATTGAAGAGGGCGGGGGGGGGGGGGGGGGGGGGGGGGGCGAACGCCATGCAAGTAAACTTGCCTGAGTCGACAGGAAAACAGGCTCTCGGGGGGGCCTTTTCGGAAGGCCGTCAAGTACGAGCCAGCTCCTGGAAGGCCTTTGTGGGGACGATGACTAGACAGGACTTCTAGAAACCAGATTGGGGGGGGATCATCAGCCCGATTGGCCCAAGTGAGCTCAGGATTGAGCCAGATTGTGTCAGATCAGGCTGTGCGAGATCGAACTAGGCCTGATGCCCAGGCATCCGACGATGCCATGTTTTCGATGCGCGGCCCCGGAGGCCCCGAACCCTCACTCAGGGGCCATGCTTCGTGCCGCGGGCCCCTTCTTGACGGCCCCAGGGCCGGACATCCAGACCCCACGGGCCGAAACCGAGGACAAAAACACTGGGGTGGGGGGGGGGTAACACACGTGGTCGGAGATCTGGGCAGGGCCCAGGGAAATGCCAACCCAGAGGCCAACAACGCCAGGAGCCGCAGCCCGACGACCCCCGTCGCCCCGCACATCCACCGTCCCACTGCGTGCTTCCACACTGCCTTGATCAGTGCAACACCCCTGAGCGCAGCTTGTCTGGATGGGCTGGCGGGGACACGCAACAAGTCAAGAAGGAGACCTTCCAGAAGCTGCAAGATATCCCGGAAACGAGTAGCGAACAGCCAGGCATTTGCGGGGCTCCCCGGGGGCATTGCTCGATTGCCACCGGGGCCGACCGAGCACTGACCCGAAGAATCCGCCATCGGGCTGCCGTCTCGGGGCCAGAACGAGTCAGATCAGCACTCGGACCTCGGAGGCATCACCCGAAGGGACTCGGCCGACGTCCGCGCTGACGAGACCGTTTCTCTGAACCTGGCTAACGCCCCCTCGCCCCCGCACACCACTTCAACGCAGACCCCGACGTCTTAATTTGCTCATGCCGTCGACCCCCTGGGGTCTCGACCCGTTCCCCGGGACCGGCGTTTCATCCAGAGCCGTTTCGTTGGCAATCCCGAGGCCCCGTGCGCACAAAGGGGTTAAGGGGGAGGGGGAGCGGGGAATGCTTCTTAGAAGGAGGCTGCTTCTTAGAAGGCGGCGGCCCTGCATCTACAGACAAGGCCCGCGCCTCCTGAGAAGCAGGGGTGCTTCTGACAAGCCTGTCCCCCTCCCCCTACCCCCCTGCGCGCGTGGTCGTGCAAGGGCCCCCAGCGTCTAAAAATAGCGGAATACCTGCAATCGTGAGTTTCTCATGACTTGAGAAGGGACCGACCGTCCCGGCATTCCTATAGGCCTACCAGGAAACGTTCTTAGAACCCAAACTTGTTCGAATGACAAACAACAATGCTCTTAGACCATAAGCCCGAAGTGTTAAAACCGGACAGTCTCGGATATAATGTTCTTAGAACAGCTCGTGCAGACCACATCAGGTTCGTAGAACATTCTTTGCTGGGCCCATCGGCGAGCCAGGACGCTTCGCCACTGCTTGAATGACCCGAGGGGGTCTTGAGGCCGCTTGCTCAGGGCCGCTCCTGCGCGCCACCGGCTCTATGCCGCGCGCGCTCGCGGAGCGGCCGCTGGCGACGGCGATGACGACGACGACGCCCGACGACGACGCCGCCGCCCGCCGCCGCCGCCGCCGAAGACGACGACGACGCCACCCGCCGACGGCGCCCCAGGGGTCTGGAAACGCCCCCCTCGCCCCGCACGCTCTCCTCTTTGCGCACCAGGGCCGCGCGCCTGCAGGCCCGGCACCTGCAGCCCGAGGCCGGTGGCGGCCATCTCCACCCTGCGCCCGGGGGCGGCTTGCCAGGCCCAGACCCCCTCGAGTCATGAAAAACTCATGACGGGAAAGTTTTCGCCATTTTCGGCCTCTGGGGGCCCTTATGCCGGGTCCCGGGACCGTCAAGAAACGACTCGGAAGGAGGAACCGGTCCCGGGGAAGGGGTCGAGGCCTCGCCGTTTCTGAAACAATCACGACGCCGGGGGTCTGGGGACGAGGGCCCCCCTGGCCCACGGGGCGCCCCAGGAGTTGCAGCACACGGAGGCCCCCACGGCCTCCGCAGAGGCCTCCGACGGCATCCTGTGCGCCACGGCCTCTGCAGGATCTCCGCAGGGACACGCCGTGCCTGCAGCCTTCTGCGGCGCTGTTCCTCGACGTCTGCTCCTGCAGGGCCCGTTTTGGGGCCGGGCCACGGGAGGCCGCCAGCCGGAGCGCACCGCTGATGCCCTCGGGGAAGGGCCCCCTGGAGCCTTTGGGCCGCGGAGGCCCCACATGAGGAGGAGGAGGAGGAGGAGGAGGAGGAGGAGGAGGAGGAGGAGGAGGAGGAGGAGGAGGAGGAGGAGTAGGAGGAGGAGGAGGGGGAGGGGGAGGGGGAGGAGGAGGAGTAGGAGGAGGAGGAGGAGGAGGGAGGAGGAGGAGGAGGAGGAGGAGGAAAAGGAAAAGGAAAAGGAGGAGTCTCCCGTACACCCCTCGCGGGGCCCCACTGGGGGGGCCCCAGGAGCTCCCAGGCGGCGGGACAGCCTGGACACACCTCGGGGCCAGGGGCGGAGAAGGGCACCGTGAGGGGGGGGGGACCGGCTCCCAAGGGGAGAAGCAGTGAGCGGAACCGGCGATGCGTCTCGCCGATAGATCGGCAGGGGGACCCCGATCCCAGATCCGCGCGCTCTCCTGGCCCCCATCGGAGATCCATGAGCGATTGGGGGCCGACGCGCTCTCCTCCCAGGAGCAGACGGTCGGGAACTTTTGCTCGGCGCGTGGCCGCGGCGGCCCCAGGGACACGCGAGCTGCTCGCGTGCCGCTCCGCTCCGCGCAAGGCGGGCGGCAGGGAAACATGCCCGGCACGTGGACGCCCGGGGACCTGGACCTGGATGGCGTGCCGCGCCGAAGCGTGGTGGGTCGCGACACGCTGAGCCAAACCCAGACCCCCGACGTCATGATTTTTCACGACGTCGACACCCAGAGGTTTCGACCTATTCCTAGGAACCTGTGTTTCATCCTGAGTCGTCTTTTGACGGTCCTGAGGCCCGGTACGGGCCCCCAGAGGCTGAAAACTGTGGAAAGTTGTTTCATTGCTCGAAGGGGTCTGGGAAAGTTCCCTGTCGCACCTCGCCTCTGACGCTGCCCCCGACGGCCCAGTTCTTGGCAAAACCCCGACCTGTGCCAGCCGGCGCGCGCACCCGGCGGCACGGGCTCGACGCTGGCGCCCCCCTCCTGGCAGCACGTGGCGCCCATGCTCCGTCCGCGGCCGGGAGGCAGGAAGCCCGGGGCCCCGAGATCCGGGGGTGGCGCCCCTGCTGCTTCCACACTGGGCACTCTCGCGCGCCTCGATCGCCACACGTCGCGCGCCGCGCCCGGCGACGTGCGAGTTTTTATCTCGGCGCGATCGCGTCCTCGAGCCGACCCCCCCTAGAGAGGGGGGGAACCACTTCGGCCAAGACCGCGACGCGCGACGGTCGCCGCGCCCCCACGGGTGACCTAGGTTTCGCTTGATCTTTGTCCCGATACGGCTGGGGAAGTGTCGCAGAAGAAAGATGGGGTTGGGGCGCTCCAGTCGTGATGCTTCACGATTGTGTATTCTTGTTCGCGGCGTCAGATCTCAGGGAAGAAGCGGGGTGGCAGGATGAGCGGGAGGAGGAGCAGGAGGCTCCTATTGCCAGCGCGCTGCAGCCACCAAGAGGGCTGTCGCTGCGGCAACGTTCAGCATGGCTTGGGCCAAAATGGCTT